CAGTTTTGAGGGCGTAGTTGCTGATAAAATCCGTTATAGCGTTTTTTCATCTTCCCATTTCGGCATACCACCTAATGCTTATGATACACCCAGTCACACACACTTTATCTGGCGTTACGATTCTCTGATACTGCGGAATATAACTAATGCGTTGCAGCTTTTCAAACGGTACTTATTTTCAGAAAGAGTTCTATCGAAAGGGGCTACTGCAGCAAAGAGAAGACATAACTACGCTGTGACTTGTATGGGCTTAGAGGAACAAACTGCCTTTACACAAAAACATTCCGAAAACAACTGCTGTCTAGCAAAACTGCATTTTAACGTTCCTGCTTTCAAAAGCTACTTGTTTATGTATTTTGAAAAGGCCTACCTGTCAGGGGAGTTAGTTGCACAAAACTATCTTCGTTAGTACTAGTATCACATTTTTGCTCGAAAGCGCTTCCGAACGGCGTAGGCGTAGGGTAAGGTAGATGAGGCGACTGGAGGGACAGCGACGAATTCTTTGATGAAGCTGAATCTGAATAAGTACTCGGCAGATTCTCTGTTCTCGCAAGTTTGGGTGGCGGGATAATGTCAGAGTTTGGGTCATATTGCTGAGCGGGTCGCAATGGTGTAATTTGACTATGTCCTGAACACGATCCAGCTACAACAACTGTCTGAGACTGGCTTGCAGCAAGTGTCTCGTGGTCTGGATGCGAGTGCGTGCGCTCACTACATGCACGTCCCTGTAATGCTTCTGGCACTCGAGTGGACGGGCGCCTTCTCGCAACTGTCTGCAGGTCCTCAGCCACTTGTTTCGCGCTCAGCAACGCCTTTTCCAAAACCGGCTGAAGTGCAGCTTCGACACCGAACGAAGCAGCTTGCAGCTGTTCAGTTAGGGCATGCGCGGTGCGAGTTGCTGCAGACAGTGCCACTGCAACTTGATCACGAGCGTGACCATGGTTGACCGCTGGCACTGCCAGTGGAGCGACTGAATGTGGCTGCATTTCTGCGGCTGTAGAAACTGGATATTGCAGCCGCACTGCAGGTGGTGCAGCCCAAGGGCAAGCAAATGCGTTCGGGGCTGCTGGCAAATTGCTGACCATTGAATTTTGCTGCAGGGGTCTCGGATGTGGTACCGCCGCAGCAGGGAGGCTAAACGCATTTGCCATCGAGAAGTGATGCATCAGTTCATTGCTGTCTGGTACACTGTTCTCGTTGTGTGAATAATTTTGGTCAGAAATCGAATTCGGAACAGCACTTGCATTTGTACTGGGAGCCGCAGCGGTAGTAGATGCGGTAGAACCGGCGACAGTTGGAAGTTGATTTCTGGGATGTTCCGGATCCGCAGCCTTCATTTTCCTTTTCGATGGTTGACGTGGTAGTTTTGGCATTGCGTCCAATCCAATTTTCAATCGAAAAAATCAGCTCTGCCGACTTAAACACAATATATAGGCAGAGTTAGACGCACTGGACGTATACAACGCTACACTTCCCAGAGAAATACCAACTTAAGCCGCCCAAAAATAAGTACTCTGCGTGGAAGAACAAGGAACGAAACAGAAGTACGAGGCTACTGCAACCTGAATGTGGGCTAAAGTCGATCGAAACTCAATGTGCACTAAAGGTGTGACATAATGTTAGCGAACGGCCGACACGACCTATGACCTCACAGACAGAAAAAAATGACCCTGGAGGTCCCACAACCGTGCTGCACCAGTAAACAATACATGCAAAGCACACAGTTGATGAGAACAGCTATTCTTTTCTATCCGGAAACAAATGCTCCTCCCTCCTCCATCCGTCCCGCCGGACCTACCCGTAGAGTTCCGGAAAGCCCAACGACCAAATTCCTTTGAAACTGTTTAGAGCTTTGGGCGGTTTTGAGCAAAATTAGTCAGAATTGAGGTCATGTTTATTCAGAATACCCTCAGTGAAGCCAAGATTTGTTCTCAGTGTGAAAAACGCCGTAGAAGTAGCGAACTCCTCTACAAGCTTAATTTACTTTCTTTGACACACCGACCAGAGACGCCAATTTTTTAGAACTCGACTGCTGTTAAGGCCAAACACACCAGTCTCAGTTTCTTGCTGGTTCAGGTCAACAAAGGGTTCGCTGGCCTCGTTTGTTAGCCAAAACTGACACCCTGAATGCAATGCGAGATTGCAATTTTAATTTCGCCACCTACGCTAGTCTTCCCGGGACAGGTGCTGTTGGCGGCTGAATGTTTGCTGTTGGCCCGATTAGGAAGTCAGACCAAGTACGCCAGAGACTGGAACGCGCAATTCTACTTCTAATTTCTGCGTTTGAAGGGATCGCCAAAATCGGGCGTGAAGAAAAGAAACACAGCACAGTTGCTCTTTGAATAACACACCGAGTGGGGCATTTTCGAAAGTGAGGCATGAGAACGCTGATACTCGCTCTTGTGACAGGAATAACCAGCATCATTAGGACTGTGATTATGTCACTGTATTTCTACTATCGGAACTCCATACCGCCAATAATCGATCGCTTGCTTAGGTGGTTTTCAAATGCACCGTCCCTCCCAGCTACTGATTCGTTCTCGATTTGCGCTGTTGTATTTTTGTAGAGTAGTAGATTGGATGCACCGAAAAGAATCAAAAATTTGACGCATCAGCTGCTCGCCGTGCCTTCGATCAACTGTAG